TTTAAAAATTTTAAGTGCTTTATTTTTTTATTTTTTTTTTTTTGTGAAGAAATTTATTTGACTTCAAATTTTTTAACAAGTAGCTATAGTTGGCAACCTCTGCTCACAAATWTATCTCTTAAAACTTAGAAATAGGCAATATGGCAATCATATGATTATCCTGCAATTTGGAGTGAATAAAAAAAATTAAACTACTCTTATTGGACCAATTTGAAAGTGATTAAAGTCTTTATTTAATTAACTTTTARTCCTGATTAATATGTGATAAATTTAAGCATCGCAAGAAGAACCGTTTCTATCTTGCTAAACCACTGATATCTTCAGCAATTAAATCCAACTCGTCGGCGGCTTGCCTGACCTCATCATTGAATGTGATAGTGACATCAATTCTTTGCATATTTCCAAATTGTTCCACGAGTCCATTAAGAGTATCAGCTGGCAAGCGTCTGTCGAAGGGATAGCCCATCGTGCGCTTATCTGGATACAATTTGTCACGCAGACCGCAGAAAGAAGCCGCATTGTCATTGCACAGKGTTGAATTCTCATCAGACACTTCATTAGAAACATCGTTTTCGCTGAGATTTTGGAAAGAACAAATATAGTTAGACACTAAAACATATATGCATGTGCTGTATGTATTAACCACAATCGGCTAAACCACACACAGCTATCGACGAGTAGTCTCTGAGTTACTCAAGATCTACACCAAAATACCAACACGTCTTAGTTCACACGCTCAAGCACTTCACGACTCACTAAAGTATACACTTACCARTGATGACAATCACTTGTCTGGCCCGGCTGCTGGACCGCATCGTCGGCATAATCCGAAATCATGACAAACAAATCAAATCGCATGCCACGAATTTTACCTTTCGGCAACAGCATATAATGTGGCCAACCGCAACCGCAGAAGTGCAGACGTGTGTTGAGCTCCGGATTCGCTTYGGACAGTGCGTCCTTATTGGTGGTGCGACCAAAAGTGCGCTCAACGGCAATAGTGACGGAGGACTCCACAGAGAGCCGCTTCAATTGGTTTTCGCCGGGGTAAACTGGGTAARAACGAGGCAGTAAATAAATACAAATACAAATATYTGCWGTGTCATCGGCAGTCACTTACGTTTAAGGGTAAATTTATCCAATTCAATTGCCAACAAGCGTTGTTCTTCCAAMTTTAAGAGCTTGCCACGTTCATCCTTTATGGGGCAGAGGAAAATTCGACAAGTGCCGCATTTCACCTGCTCACTGTTGTTCTCAACCACAAAGCAATACTCGAAAGGCGCATGTTGGAGATGTGTGTACGAGGCATGTAAACCRCTATCGGCTGTAAAATCCAAACCGGCCGCCAAGTCAACTTCGGAGTTTTGCCAAAAGGTCTCAAAATGATTCGGTTCCTTCAATGAGCTCGTCCTAACTTCAATTTCTCGCAAATTGATGCCACTGAAGCTGAGCTGTTGCTCACTATAGGGTGGTAAGAGGCTTTTGAATTTAGASAGTATATTATTTATGTATGTGTGCCAGCGATAGAAGACCGGATCACGCATAGCGGTCATATTGTGTCCAATCACGCCGAACTCCTCCATATGCCGATGATCTGGATCGTGTATGCTGGCAATTAAATTGTGGCCCATATTATGCAGTTTTCCATAGTATTGTACATTGATAGAGAGATCAGATTCCTCAATGATATTGCCTAGTATATCGATGCCGGTGACCTCATCCAGTATATACTTGTTGCCATGCGACTGCAGAAAAGTGCTTAATTTATTTGGTTTCTAAATATATCTTCACAAAACTTACATCTATAACGAAACCCTGATCGATTGCCGCCAAGATGCGATCAGCCCAACGTTCCATATCGGCAATTTCGACCGTTGTATCCTCGCGGTTCACATCTTGCAAACRCAAATTACCGCTACGTCCCGGATAGGTGCGTTGATGTGCATGATCTAACAATTTCGGATAATAACCCTCTTCGATGGGTTCGCGTAGATTACTTAACGGCAGTGCCTTGGCTAGTTTATTGCTAAAGCGTTCGGCATTGTAACGCGCTAAAATCTGTTGATGCATATAGTAAAAGAGCTCACCGCGGCGATCCTTGTTGATGATCTCGCGTGAACCGCTATTTGGATAAACCAAGTGCCAGTGCCAGTGATGCATATTTACGCCAATGTCTTCGCGAAAATATGCCAAACGTTGTTCGATTTCACGATCGGAGGCGGTATAGTTATGGGGAATTTGTATGTGAGGCTAAAGGATGTGGTAGAAATGTAAAAAGATTTAGTAAGAAGAATGCTATTGATAAAGCGAAAAAATATACGAAGGCTTGAGCTATGAGAACCTGCTTCAACAACGTTTTTAGCGAGCACATTGAACAACCATTGTCTTATGGGAATCCTAATGTTTCCGCAGTCAGTTACTCATTGGTTCAGGTTTACCGAAATTAGCTGAGAGACCTAAAATTTCGATCCGGTGCTTTAATCCAATCTATCTATACTTTCATATACTTTCTGGTTTGATCCTTAAAGAAAGACTTTTAAGTCTGAGATATAGTGATTCGAATTGTTCGAAAGCTGGAGGTGTTATCGGATCTTTGAATCCACACGTTAAGTTTTTGTATAAAAATTTGTCTTCGGGTACTAATAAGTTCAAGTACTGAAAAAATGAAACCTATGGAACCAAAAATATCGAAAGTCGCTGATACTCAGTTATAATTCTAAAGAGGGACTAAATCATTATAGAATAAACCGCATGTTCCAATTATTTTCCTCAACTTTCAGATCTCAGAAAACTTCAGTAAAGAAAGTTAAGGTATTTAAAGAGCGTTCCACGTAAGTAAGTTTTTTTTATGTAAGGACCCTATCTCGAATTCTCAATGAGGTGTGGTGAAGAGTCAGGAATGGACCTTGATCGCATTACAAAACCCCAAAAGAAGCGTGTAAGACCACATACGCTTTTCGGACCAACCTTTTTATTGCCTTTAAACTCCAAAGCCTTACGCATCTTCGTAAATGCTGAGGGCTCTATAAAATTTGATGGAAAGATCTCGGCCACTGGTGGTACCCAAATGTCACGTGTATCTCGGCGATGCAGCAAAGCAACCGAGTAACAATATTGAAAGAGCATAGCATTCAAACGATGTCTGTGAAGCAGAAGAGAACTTTATATCAATACGAGTACTTCAAATAAGGAAATTGAAAATTTTACCTGGTATAGACGCATAAGCTGAGAAAATAATCTAAATCCTCAGCTTCCATCAGCAATCTGATGAGTTTGCCAGCAATTTCTTTATGCAGCGTATTGAAAAGAGAAAAGTTTTGTTTCACACTCAATTTATCAGCGAAGGATAGATCTGGCTTTGACGGCAGCTCCTGCAAGGCGAACTAAATAAGTGGAAGAAAGTAAAGTACATAAGCAAACAAAACTGTAATTCTATGCAACAGAGGTTTACCCTTATGTGCTCGCTATTCGCATAACGTTCCTGCAACATTTCTTTTACGCCGCTATCACACTCCATATAATGGGAATCYGGTAACTCGAAAATACACTTGCCATTGTCGCGACATGTATAGATGGGTTCCAAAGGGCTCTGAAAGAGCATTTGGAAGGCTTTTGCGTAATCCATAATTTTTTTTTGTTTTAGGTTGCGTTCAGCACAAGCGAAAGTAAACTGAGCATATCGATTGCATCGTCTGCTCTTTTATATGAGTGGGTGCCACTTCTCCGACCGTAAGAACTTTTTACTTATCAGTCTTTATTGAATGCTGTGGTACCAAGAATTCACTACTTTTTCTCCATATATTATACTGTATGCTATTTTGGCAAAATGAGTCAGATTATGGGAAGCTATTTTTATGGATAACGACTTACGCACATGTATAACATATAATACTTATATACATGCGTATTTGTGGTTTTAACTGTWCATGCGGAATTCCCAAATATGTATTGCAATTACCGCAAAAGTTTTGAGAGGTCATTGGTATTTCAAATTCAAAATTTTTCGACGAATATTGCATAGAAATATGAATATTACTTCAAGGAATATAGCGCATTTGCTGGGAATCAAGCTGAGTGTACTTGCTTTATCGGGAAGCTGGTTGTAATATTACGTGTATTAAGACCCTATTTTTAGGCAGAGAGAACTTTGTGTATATCTAAGAATTGAATTGTAATCGAAGTAAAGCGGATTTCTTGGACTTTTGAGTGGTCACAAGTATTTTCTTTAGAGCACTATATTTATAACCTGTGTATGACGGATCTAAGTGTGCTCTAGGAATAAGACCTACTAAATTATAAACTAACCGATTATCAAATATGTCCTAATTCTTCTAACTCTTCAATTACGAAGAGGTTGTTAAAAAGAGAAAGATAGAGGGAGAGACGTAAGAATCATACAAATGCAAATAAAAACATAACTTTATGAATAAAGTACTTCGATGTTAAATTGTTGCAGAGAAATATTCCTCTTCTTGGTTTCGAAAGTACTCGATTTTGAGGTTAAACCATGAGTATTGTATATCTACCAAGCTGGTTTTCATAACTTGGAAATGGAGAAGTACAAAAAGTGGGTACTATATTAAGCGATAAAAACCTTTTTAAAATGGTATCGCTTATTTTCAAACCCGATTATTTGTCGATAAATTTCCAAACCGATTATTTATCGATTAATTATGAAATCGATTAAATATCGATAAATATAATTTCATTATAGGTTTCAAACCTGTATAAAGTGTTCATGGTTTCAGTTCAGTTTAAGCTACATATTATAGGATTAAATCGATAATTTTATTTAATCGATAAAGTAGATTCTATTTTTTTGAATCGATTCCTACAAAAAACTTTGATAGTCCAATCTCCAAAATTATTCAAATAATGTCATTCTTTTGGCTTTAATGTGCAGGTCAATCTAAAATGTATGGTCTTTAATAAAATGTCTCCTTAAMAWTTGGAACCTTCCTGAAGAACATTCRAGATACTATAAATAYACTAAACATGAATAATTTGCTAATAACTTTTATCTTAATTTATTGGGTAAATGGGAATAAAGCAGGGATTTATATGACGTTTTGTATAACCTTAATTATAACTGACCACAAGRTATTTTAGAAACTATTAAAGCGCTATATGAGTGCTTCTCATAGGCTTCTAATTACGTTTCCTGTCGATAACCTCATCGTTGAAAATTATCTTGATAGGTGTCTTCTTCATGTTGCTGAAGTTCTCAGTCAGTGCAGTCAAATTGTCAGCCGGTAGGCGCCTGTCGAATGGRTAGCCCATAGCACGCTTGTCCGGATATAATTTGTCCTTAAGGCCGCAGAATGAAGCAGCATCGCCGCAGACATCAGGACTGATGGGAAAGAAAGAATATTAATACTCAGTCCATTTTTTATTTCTCAAGYTATACTCACGCGTTATTCTTCTGCAACACTGCGTCGCCTTCGTAGTCTGAAATCATGACAAAAAGTTCGAATGGCATACCCTGGGGTTTACCCTTCGGTARTAACATATGCGCAGGCCAACCGCAGCCGCAGAACCGGAATTCAGCCAATTTTTGTGGATCGGTGGGCAAGTGGTCGCCACCGATGCGGCGGAAGGAACGTTCATAAGGTATGGTTACACTGGAGTTAGAGTAAGATTGGTTGATTTTGTTTGGACCAGGCATTACTGTTAGATGATATGAAAAATTAGTTCTTACAATTGTTTGAATTACAAAATTTAAAAAAAATTTTCTATAAAGCTTTCAAGAAAAATTTCCTAAAAGCTTTCACATTTATGCTTTTAAAAGCTTTTTGAGGGACTAAAGCTAATTTGCATAGCAGCCATGTCAAAACTTTCACAAAGGCTTTCAGGAAAATTTTCACAATATTTTTTGCAAGCTTTAATTTAAGCTTACAAAGCTTTATAAAGAGCTTTTAAAAAACAATCAATAATTTTTTTACAAGTCAACTCACAATTAACGTTGAACTTGTCCAATTCAATGGCCAGCTGACGCTGTTCATTCAAAGTCAATGGTGTGCCACGCTCGTCGGTGATGGGGCATAAGAAAATACGACAAGTTCCACGCTTGGGTGTACCACTATCGTTATTCACTTCGATCAAGTACTCGAAAGGAGAATGCTGCAAATGTGTGAACAATGCATAAACACTGCCTCCCGGTCCGAAATCTAGACCAGCGGCCAAATCCACATCAGATTTTTCCCAATAGGTGAGCAGCGTGTTTATGATGTTCTTTGTTGCGCTAATGATGCGAACATCTGCACGTGTCACTGTCACGCCATCATAACCGAGATCAGGTGCGCTATACACAGGCAACTTCTCCTTGAAACGATTGAAGAGTACATCCAAGTAGCCGTGCCAGCGGTAGAAGATAGGATCACGCATAGCGGTTGTRACATCGCCCATAACACCGAAGTCTTCTAAGAAACGATTATCTGGATCGTGTGAGAAKGAAATGACATTGTGGCCCTGATTGTGAAGATCGCCATAGAAACCAGGGTTGACAGAGAGATCGCTCGACTCAATTAGATCGCCGAGTATATCGATACCCTTGATTTCGTCCAGTGGTATGTTGTTGCCTCTTGCCTATCAGGAGTACAACCATTATATTTTTGTTATGTTTTGTTACTACTAAAGTCTGAAGTGAATACTTACATCAGTTACATAACCCTGRTCRATACTTTGCACTACGCGATTGATCCATCGTTCAATGTCAGCTAATTCCAGTACACGTCCATCGCGATCGATATCCTTCAAAGACGTTTTGGCAACGCGTCCCGGATAGGTGCGACTATTAAGACTGCACAGAATTTTCGGGAAATAACCTTCCTCAACAGGTTCGCGTATATTGTTCAATGGTTGTAGCTTCGCTAAAGCATTGCAGAAGCGTTCCACGTTGTAACGCGCCATAAGCTGGTGGTGCATGTAGTAGAAGAGTTCACCACGGCGATCTTTGCGCACCACTTCGTCGGGTCCCGAACCGGGGTATACTAAATGCCAATGCCAGTGATGGCTGTTCACGCCGATATCCTCACGGAAGTAGCTCAAACGTTGCTCCTCTTCGCGGTCAGAGGCGGTGAAGTTTTGCGGAATGTCAATACGACGCTGCAAAGGAAAGATATTATTTKAAAATTAGAGTGATTAAGTTACTATCTCGCGCCACTTACTCGACTGCCTGGATCTGTGACCAGCTTGCCCTCAGCGCGTGCCTCCTGAAACACGGATGGCTCGACAAAGTTTTGTGGAAACTGTTCCACAATTACGGGCACCTGGAAGTTGCTGGTATCCTTACGATGTTGCACAGCCACGGAGAAGGCATATTGGAAGAGGAAAGCATTGACACGGTCCTTAACATAGGCAGCCAAGGCAATGAAATCTTCCTCGGTGGTGGGCTCGAGCAGCAGTTGTATGAGCTGGGCGGCAATGCGCCGATGTGGCGCGTAGAAGAGTGAGAATTGTCGACGTTTCGTGAGTGGTTTAGCGAAATCCAAATTAGGCTTCTTTCTCAAATCGCGTATGGGTATTTTCACATCTACTTCTTCGCCAAAACGATTCTGTATCTCCTCCTTGACTTCGGCATATTGTTCCGTGTAGAAGCTATCGGGCACATCAAGTACGGCCTTACCATTGTCGCGTGTGGCGAATACCGGTTCCAAGGGGTTCTGGAAGAGTAAGTTGAGCGCCTTCTTATTCTGTTCACTGGACATGTTAATATCTGTTCCTGACTGCAAGTAATTGAAGTTAGACGACGGTGTGGGGTTGCGTATAAACGACTGTGGGAATGCTTTGAATTCCAAAACCTTTTATACCGTTTTGAACTGGATTCCCTCGCAATATCTGCTTCATTTTTTTGTTGTCTGTGCACTTTTTCCATAGCGGCATAGTCTTATCATATTCTTGCTGATAAGTAACCGCAARCGCTATTTAGCTAAGCGTATAGCGTGAGAACTTAAGGTGTAGAAAGCGCCTCTAAAGGTTTAGGTTATGCAGCAAATCSGATTTTTGTGGCTTAAAAATATTTAAAGGTTAACTTGGATAATTTTATTTACTGATAATTCTTATTCTACAAATTTTTTGTGTGTCTCCAAGTTTTAGTGAATCACATCWGAGAAATGAATGAATTATTAGTAGATATACGACAATCTCATTAGGTGGAAGTATGAGAAGCATTGAGTACCGAATTCTTTCCTTAATTCACACCATAATATGTGATAATTTATATTACTTAAATAAAGTTCCTTCTTTTTATCTTGAAGCCAACTTKGCTACATTAAGGGAGCTCCGCATTGTCCGTAACAATTTTTTAGTCCGATGGTGCATGGTCATAGCTATATCCATCAGAACTTCGCAGCCACGCGAGTCAACAAAGATGTGTGTGGTTCAGCACTACGACGGATCAGTTTTGTTGATCAGTTCTGACGTTTTTTTCGATTGYTTGATTTATTATAATCAGTTATCGACAGAAAAATGTAGAATCAATCGTTCGACCAGATTGGAGCAGCTCATAGTGGRTGATTCCTTTCCAATCCCACYAAACACTWAGCATAACCTTYCGAGGTGTCAGTTCTGGCCTTGCGACCATTTGTTGAGCTTCCSCAGSYTTGGACTATGAYCTTTTTCRCACATTRTTGTYGTATGTGATCCACTCTTCGTCTCTTGTTACCATTCGCTTCAGAAATGGTTCGATTTCATTTCGTTTCAAGAAAGAACCGTAGATGTTAATTCGGTCCATTAAATTTTTCACAGACAATTCATGTTGGATACCCAAACATCGCGCTTCTTTTTGTAGCCAGTCGTTTTTAAATCTTCAAAAAAGTTTGRTGATGAATGTTAASTGCAWTAACGATGTCATAGCTGCTTATGTGACGGTCCTGGTTAATRTTTTCTATAATTTSATAGACTTTTTCAATGATAGGWCGACCAGAGCGAGGTCCATCTTTCTCATCGAAATTTCCAGAACGGAAGCGTGCGAACCATTGTTGTGTTACACGAACTGATTCAGYATCGGCTTGATTAAAAAAGAGTTCTCGTGTGTGAAAACTTTTTTATTTGTGAAGGGTGTTTCGGTGTAGATTATAATACTGCTAACTATTTAGTGCTTTAGGGTTTTACATTTTAGTGGAACATCATTTGTGTAATGTACTTTTTTTGYAACATTCTCCTTCCTCGTTTTCCTAGTGGCAATGGACAAACCTCATTTTATTACTGCTGAGTTTCCTTACAGGTGATGTTATCAGAAACTCGCATTTAAAGCATGGAGTTTATGATAACCTGTCGAGCGAACTCCCTCTATTGTTTAAGAGACTGCATTCTTTATTTAGGTAATTTTTATGTCAATATCAAAAGACAAAGCACCGATTAGCTTTCTTGTTCCTAATATTACTGCACTCTCGTTGGCCTGGTGGCCTTGCCCAYCCGTTCATCTTTAGGAACTAAGGTCTCATTCGTGCTGATTTAAAACCATTCTAAACACTTTTTAGTTCTAACATCGTTGCATGTAGACGGTGAAGTTTTAGTCATTTCTTAAACAATCTCAGATTTGTAATATGAACCCTTAATTGTCCGTTACTGTAAGTGTCTACAATAATAGCAACAATCTGTACGTTGTCACTCAGCATAATTGAAACAATTAGTTTTACATTATCATTAAAACAATAACAGCAGAATTCTACACTCAATGTGAGAAAGTGAAAATGGGGAAGTAGAATAAACTCAACAAACACCGAGAAGACTATAGACAAAGACAAACCTCTGCGGCGTTGGGATGAAGTAAAAGCTGTCATTGTGGCTCTCACTACTTCAGGGGGGTTATTTGAGAACAAAGGCAGAAAGCACATTCAATATGTGTATACACATATTTACATAGTTTTATATAAGAATTTGTTTGTATATTTGTTGTTGCGCTTTATTTATAAAATAGCATAACACTGAGCGGTAGTCTAGCCGCTTCAAATAACAATTGCTGAGAATGCTTCGGTGCTTGCCAAGAGCAGCTGCGGTTATTGTCATATTCGCCGCTTCAAATAGCACGCACCAATTGAGTTTAATAGAATACTTTTCAATCTCATTTCTCTTGAGAATGGCTGTGAAAACGTGCGGGCATTTGGTAGATCATTTAGTTTATTTAATTTCTTTGATGTGGATGAAGGGTTGCCGTGCTTGTGATATTACGTAGTACTCACTGACTCTCCGGTGAGATATAAATATGACAGAGAGAGAGAGGAGTCTTTTAAGATATTATTTTTGTGTGACATAAAAGCGCTAGTTACAAAAGAAAAAGGAAAGTACTGAACCATTGATGCCGGTTTTTCAATGCTATKTGGAAGGTCCAAACTAGGTGGAACAAAACTGCGTTCGTGGGTGGACTTCTACTGATATGTAGTCATGTCTCTTCCGAAAAAAAGCCGCGARAACAAACGCATTGGACTAAACTAAAAATAAGGATAGAAAATCTTTCTTCYTCTACAGCCACGATGTAAGATATTTCCTACTACAACAACAAATTAATAAATTTACAACACTTAGTAACCCCTTAATATGCAAGACGACCCCACTGCGGTGATTAAGGTCACTTAAAACAAATTGTTAATTCGTCTCCCTTTATAGCTTAGACGTCTCGACGATTCTCGYACAATTGTAAGATTAGAATGGTGAGCAAGCTGACAGTCGCATGCTGTGTCAGCGCGCTTGTGGCAGTCGCTAATGACGGACAGTGGCAATAAAACAAAGCGTGACAGCTGCGACATGCCGTGCAACCTACAGCACACCTTAATGGAAATTTTATTAATGACAATGACATTAATAAAGTGCTAATGTTAATGCCACATAACTGCGTTAGCGTTGATGAAGAACGCAAACAGCTAATTGTTGCTGAGACACAAGACGCTGCTAGTGAAGTTTGTGGATGTGAAGGTATACTAAAGTGTTCCTTAAGACATCAAAGTTACCATGAAAAAGCATGAGGTCTCATTTAGAGGCTACAAAATATGAAATATATTGGAAAAATTTCAAGTTCCATTATGGAGACTCAGGAAATGAATTTTAAGATAAAATTCTTGAGTCGAAGAAGAATAGTATGGACTTTGATAGCTGTGTGAYACGCCATTTGTTTATGCCRATATTCGTAAAGTCAMAAATAATYSCACTTAGACAGCKAGAGACGCCTGTCTGATTTGACGCCCAGGRTTCATAGGCATGGTTCAAAAAGACCGTCGAGAAATCTTCTACAGCCTACCACAAAATTTATTGAGACGGCTAATTTCAGCTAGTTCGGCCACTTTAGGCCAAGAATCTTTCACAACCCACAAGTACGGACCAATACTTATTAAGCTCGTACGATGTCCTTAGATGCAACGCCAGAACYCATGGAGACAAAGAAATACCGGCTCCTCTCCATCTTAATGGGTTTTGCAGACATCACATAACTAACAACCACCCTACTATTTATTTTAATCTAGTATACGTAATAATATATGTATATTCAATTTCTCCTGTAGTTAACTGCATACTTTCTTCCCACAACTGGGCGTAGCTGCAATTTGCCAAATTGAGACGTTTTTACACTAAACTGAATTGTTTGCGTCAAGTGAGCGGTGCAGGGTTGATTTTTTTTCCAGCATTCTTCGTCGTAGCGCAMCTTACTGCTCGGTTGCGAGTCTCATGATAGTTGACTTGCAAGCTAWGGCGAGCGAAAAATGTGCAAGACGTGGAGCAATTTGGAAAACATAGYATCGCAAGTCTTCACTTGGTAGCTTAAAACCTATCTACCATATACGTGTATATATGTGTGTGCATATTTCAATTTCTTTGCGGTTTTCCACAAAGAAGTTTAAGCATTTTGCATTCTCAAGTTGCTCTTTTTACCGCYGGAGTCTCTTGCTTGCACAGCACTTTACTTCACTCTCTTCCTCCTTTGTATTCGCTTGCATTTTGACTTCTCTGCACTGGAATTTTCAAGTTGAAAATAGTGAATGAAGAGTTGAGCGTTCACTATTTTGTACTATACTGAACTTGTCCGTTCATGTTATGTATGTGTGTGCAAATGACCGCATAGTTGCTGTGTGATTTAGCTTTTGAGTACTATTTGCCATTTGTGGRCTTTTTGTAGAATCATTGTAAGCTGCTGCATTTGATTTGAGCGCTTATGTTCTTTGATGTTTTTATCTAGTAGTTTTTGGWATTTAATATTGAGATTTTGTAATCGCTAAGCTATTGGTATGTTTTTTGTGTGAAGTCATGATAAAAGGCAACAGCTAAGGTAGCTGATCGAGTTTATTCGAAAATATGAATACCCGGAAATAATTTGCCTCACAAATGTAAATAGAGGTTGAGGCTGCGATTTCTAATTGCAATGTTGTGAATTGAGTCTAGGACAGTTGATCAATCGATAATCAAATTAAAATTTATGTTTGAATTTTGGAGAGATGAAATCGGTTCATAAACCCTTGGTAACTTTTAATTCATTTAAGGTAACTATTAATTTTTTACTTCAAACAACTCTCCATTCGCCAGAGTCTTAGAGTTGCGATGGAAGTAAGGCACGGGTGTGAAGATCCATCTTTCATAAAGCCTAAAATCCAGTCCCCTTCCAGATCTTTTCAATTATGGCTAACCAAACCGCACGCTAACGAAAGTGGTCTGTTATGTGGCGGTGGATTGGATTCCTCCTTTGTTGAGCTCTGCTGCTTAACTGAAGATTGGCAATCACTTGAACTCGCTCAGTCATTGTCGTCTCCGCTCAGCACCCTTTTAGCCCAATC